ACAGGGTCTCACTATGCAGTTCAGGCTGGCCTTGAGCTCACTTTGTATCCCAGGCTGGTCTCAAACTTGCAACAGTCCTCCTGCCTCAGCCTCCCAAGTGCTGGGATTACAAGCGTGCGCCACCACGCTCAGCTACATAATATATCGTGATCTTTCTTTTTTCCCCCCAATCCATTCATATAGCCCTTCTGACTAGAGTAAGGTAAAATCTCAATGTAGTTTTGATTTGCCTTTCTCCCAGCCCTTTCTTATTTTTGAGACAGGATTTGGTTAAGTCACTTACATTGTCCAGGTTGGGCTTAAACTTCCCACCCTGCTGCCCTATCCAGGGTGATGGGATTGCAGGCCTACACAACCATACCTGCTTTCTCAGTCACATTTGAAAATTGCCTTGTCATGTTCCTTGCTTTGTTTTTTTTGGTTTGATTTGGTTTTGGCAGTGGTAGGGATCAAACCAGCTACATAGGCAAGCACTCTACAACTGACCTATATCTTCAGTCCAACCTGTTTTTATTGAAAAATCCTCCCTCCTCCTCCTCCTTTTCTTCCTTCTTCTTTTGTCCTTCTTCCTCCCTGTCTCAAAAATAATTTTTTTTTGTATTTCAAAAAATAAATTTTTTAAAAGACTGAGCATAGCTCAATGTGAAGGTCCTGAGTTCAATCTCTAGTATTGTAAAAACAAAGCAGTGTCCTCTGATGGTAAATGCTAAGAAAAATAAAACCCAGTAAAGGGAGAGTATATGTCGGGGTAAGAGTGAGTGCTCATTTGTGGAAATAACTCAGACAGATTGACTGAATAGGGATCTAATGAAGGGTAAGCCACACAGTCCTATGGCATGCATTGTGCTCGCTTTGGCAGCACATATACCAGTGACAAGAGTTATTCAAAAGAATGAGTATAGGCCGGTTTGGCCAGAGAGAAAGAAGTGAAGAGTGGTGGATGACATCAGAAAGGAAATAAGCTTGGGTAGGGCTGTGATTTGTGTTGGTTTAGTTTGATTTTTTCCTGAGTGACGTAGGAATCTCTTGGAGGGGTTTGGATTAGAAGTGTTACATATTCCAGTTTACATCTTAAAGTATCACTCTGAAATAGTGTTGGGACTAGAATGAATGGGAGGCAAATGTGGACATAAGAATACAGCTATGCAGTGCTATGGGAAAGACAAAATCACATTTGATACTAGGGTGGTACCATGGAAATGGTTTTCAAGTGCTGGGATTGAATCTGGGGCCCTTTGCATACTAGGTAAGTGCTCTGCCTACATTGAGCTACACCCTCAGCCCAGGTTTTTTTAGGGCTGCTGTCAGGTTTTTACCTAGAAATAAGATATATTATAGATACATGTAATAAATAACTACCAATAGTATAAGGTTTGAGAAAGATATACAGTACCACAATCATGATATGAAACATTTCCATCACTCCTTGTGTCAATTTGTTAGCTTATCCAGAAAATCTTTTTCTCTAAAATCCTTTTTAAGGGGCTGGGGATTTAGCTCAGCAGCACAGCACCTGCCTGGCAAGTGCAAGGTCATGGGTTTAATTCCTAGTGCCGGAAGAACAAAACAAACAAAAAGGAAAAAATAAAATCCTTTTCAAAAACCTTTCAGCTAACTACAAGTTAAGAATGTATCATTCTAGTCCCTGCCCTTTTCTGTTTTTGTTTTTGTTTGCAGTGCTAGGAATCAAATCTAGAGCTTTGCACATACTAGGCAAGTGAGGTGCATCCCTGGCCCTCATTCATAGTTTTCTTTGTATGTTTTCTGTTCTGTGTGCTTAAATTTATAGCAATGGTGCAACTCTTAATTTTCAAAAATTATGACTTAATTTATTAAGCTCTTGTAGTTCGTTAATTTTTATCTTTTTTCCTTTTTTATTTTTATTCCTGTTTTTTCCACTTGTGTTCAATCTTCTGTGGCCATGGTTTTCTATTTGTTTATATATAAGCACTATGGCTTTGATTATGCCATTACTAATATTTTGACCACTTTGTAATTCATTCAAATTTGTACTGTTCTAATAAACATCTTCTAAATAATCTTAATCTTTGTGATTTTTTTTTTTCTATTTGATTCTAAAATTATTTGGGAAATTTTTGTTCTGTTTTGAAGATAGGATTTCTTATACTTTTGCTTTTAATTTCTACTTTGGGGGATTTTAAAACAATTTATGACCTAATACTTAATCATTTTTTAAGTTTCATGGATTTTGAAAAACATGTATATTGGAAACTGTGTGATTGCTCATTCCTGTGTACCCCAGCACTCTGAGAGACTGAGGCAGGAGGATTAAAAGTTTGAGCCCAGCTTGGGCAATTTATCAATTTAGCATGACTGTGTCTCCAAAAAAAAAAAGAAAGAAAGAAGGAGTGGAGATATAGCCCATTGCAACTCTTGGTTCAATCCCCAGTTACACCCTCCTCCCCCTGGAAAAAAAAAATATTTTGTGGCATTCAAAATTCAAAATATACTATTAAATCATTGTAAATTACAGTATTCTTATAGCCTATATTACTGTTTTAACTTATGGTGATACGTTGACTAAAGTGATGTTAATCTACTACCACAGTTGTAATTTTTGCCAGTTTCTTTTTGTATTTCAAGATTTTTGCTATCTACATTTTGTTTATATTTCATTCTTGACTTGTGTCATACTTGGGTTTTTGTTTCGTGTTTTGCTGTTGCCTGACAGATTTTTACCTATCCCTCTTTTTTAAAATTTGTTTTTTTTTTAATTTGTTTTACCTATCCCTCTTTTTTTAAATGTTTTAAAATTTGTTTTAAAATTTATTTCTATAGTATATTTTAAAAATTATATAGTATATTTTTAAAATTCATCTAACAGTCATTTAAAGAATACAATTTTAGAGGCAAATATGGTGGTACATGCCTATAATCCCCATAGTTGGGAGGCTGAGACTGGAGGATTGATATGAGTTCAAGGCCACCCTGGACCATATAGTGAGTTGAAGGCCAGGCTGAACTACATAGCAAAAGCCCATCTCAGAAAACAAACAAACAAATAAATACGTTGGTTTAATCTCCAGCACCACAAAAGAATGAAATAACTGGACATAGTAGCACACAGCTATAATCCCAACCCTCAAGAGGCTGAGGCAGGAGGGTCCTTATAAATTTTTTTGTTGTTGCTGTTGGGTCCTTGTAAATTTGAGGCCAGCCTAAACTACATAGCAAGATTCTGTCTCCAAAAAAAATTAATTTTTTAAAACAATCAAACAATTCAGTGGAATGTAAAATATTCACAGTGTATTTCTGTATGCATTGCATTTTAATTCCACTCTAGTTTTATTTTATTTATTTTTATTTATTTATTTATTTATTTTTGGTCTTTTTTGAGACAAAGTCTCGCTATGGAGTTCAGACTGGCCTTGAGCTCACTTTCTAGCCCAGGCTGGGCTCGAACTCGCAACGATCCTCTTGCCTCAGCCTCCGAGTGCTGGGATTACAGGCATGCGCCGCCACACCTGGCTAGTTTTAATTATTTTAGTTGTGTTTTGGTTTTGGTTTTTGTTTTTTTTGATTTTTTGAGACAAGGTCTTACTACGTAGCCCAGGCTGACATTGAACCTTGTGGTGATCCTCCTGTCTAATCCTCCAAGTGCTGCATGCACCACCATGCCCGGCATTATTTTTAATTAAATAAAATACTTTCAGTTATTTCAGTATTAAATACTTCCCATCCCAATTTACCAACTAAACTCATTAAGCAAAATGTAATAGTCTCTCTGTCTCTCTTTTTGGTATCAAGAATTGAACTCAGGACCTTGTGGTTGCCAGGCAGGTGCTGTGCCACTGAGCTATATTCCAGCCCTATAATAGTCTCTTTCTGCAAGAAACAGAAAATCCCACGATAGGTAGAAGTAATTTAAGATAGATATTTCTCTCAAATGGCCAGGTTCTCTGGTTTGGCCATTTTTAGGGTCTGGGGTCAGGACACTTTTCTACTTTATTGCTCTGCTATAGATAGCTTTGAAGTCTGAGATGGCTTTTGGAACGCCAAATACGAAATCTGTAGAATAGCCTGTGAAAAAAAACAGAGAATGTAATTGTTATTAAGAGAGAAAAAGCTAGGCATTGTGGCACACACCTGTAATCCCAGCCTTTAATAAGCTGAGGCAGGAAGATTGCAAGTTTGAGGCCAGTCTGGGCTACACAGTGCATACACACTCTCTAGACAACACAAAAAAACACACACTCCCCCCCAAAAAAAGTTTCCACTATGACAGTATTTAATCTTTATACTAACCCAGTTTAGCCAGGCATAAGGTACACACCTGTAATCCCAACTACTTGGGAGGCAGGATGATCACAAATTCAAGCCCAGCCTGGACAATTTAGTGAGACACTCTCTCAAAATAAAAAATTAAAAGGGCTTGAGGTGTAGCTTAGTAGTAAAAGTATCTCTGGGTTTGATCCTCAGTTCTGCCCCCCCACAGATATTTCACAGTTGAGTTGTCAGAATAAGATGGAAGCAAACTTTATTAATATGTCTCTTCAGGATCTTTTGATGCTTAAGTTTCCCTACCTCTCCCTTTTTTTCCCATGCCTTTTATTTACTATGTAAGTACCTATACTAACCAGTTGGGTCACTGGAGCTTTGATGCCATTTGTTGAAGCTACTTTGTGTTTTTGGTTTTCGTTTTTAACAATTTTCTTGATTGTTTACTAATACCTTATTCTGCCTGGGTACATATTTAAAGAATTTTTTTTTGTCCAAAAGAAAAAAATATGTTACCTTTCTAAGTCTTTGTTTATCTGAATTTGATGTCTAAAGCCAGTTATATTTGTATGTGATGTTTGTTAAAAATGCTTATAGGGTTCTGTTGTATTTTGTTTTCTTTTCACTGGTCTTGGTGATTAAAGACTAGACCAGACATTTCTGGGTCAAGTATCTGGTAGGTATAGGTGTGCTTTCATTCTGTCCCAGAGGGAAGCATCACTAAGTAATCATGGTACTCTTTCCTGTTAAAGACAGATGAAGCTTTACATTCATTCCTTCAAAAAACTGAGATAAAATAGAACAAAAAAATTGCCATTGTTAGTAAAGGTGTTGGTCTCCTGTTAAATTTCTTAGCATGAATCTTTAGGCTTTATATCAGTCTTTCACATCAAAAAATTTCCTTTTCCTCTTTTTTTCCCCTTTTCATTTTTTTTTTATTTTTAAAAACTTATTGCTCATTTTCTATTTTTTTTCCTTGTGGTGTTGTGGATCATAGCTTGTAAAGATTTGGGTTCTATGTCTACACTTTGGGGCTTTTCCCCTTATTTTCAGCTGTATTTTTTACTCTGTGTCATAGAAGAGGCTTCAGCAAGTCATCTGTTTCACTCATCTAGTTTTCTCTTCTATTTAACTGTTGCTTGTTGAATTCTCCATGGTTTTTCCTGGTTGTTTTAGTCTATATGACTGCCTAATATAGGTTGAAATGCAGTTACTCTTATTTTTAGTTCATGTTGTTTTTTTGTTTTGTTGTTGTTTTTGTTTTTGTTTTGTACTGGGAATCAAACTCAGGACCTTGCGCTTGCCAGGTAGGCACTTGTGCCACTGAGCTATATCCCTGGCCCACTCTTACTTTAAATTTTTTACTCCATAATGTGTGCTACTCTAATGTTTAAGCTCATTGATTTTATTGCTTGCTTGCTTGCCTATGACAAAATTTCACTATGTTGCCCAGGTTGGCCTCAAACTCCTGTGCTCAAATGATCCCTTTCCTCAGCCTTCCAAGTAGCTTGGACTGTAGCCCACACACCATCATGCACAGTTAGTTTTTATGTATAGTTGTGTTCATGCTACTGTCACCCAGGTCAAGATAAAAATATTTCTGACACCTCAACCAGCTCCTGTATGACCCATCTCAGTAGTACTCTCTCCTATACAGGTGACCATTGTTCCAGCCTCATTCACTGTTACTAAATCCTGTTTTTGAACTGTGTATAAAGGAATTCCTTCTTTTGTTCAACACACTCTATAAGAGATTCCTCTATGTTGTTGCATATAAAAGTAGTAGTTCATTCTTTTTTTTTTTTTTTTTTCCAATACCAGGAATTGAACTCACGACCTTGCACTTGCCAGGCAGGCACTGTGCCTCTGAGCTAAATCCCCAGCCTCCAGTAGTTCATTCTTTATGCTATGCATATTTTGTTTTATTATGAGTATACCACTTTTATTCTCCTGTTGACAAATGTATGTTTTAACAGTTTAGGATATTATGAATGGAGCTGCCATGAACATTTTCATATATGTATTTTGGTGGACATATTCTCTTCTCCTTATGATATACACCAAGGAATGAGAATGTTAGATTATTCGGTATATTTAACCTTACTAGATATCACCGAAAAGATTTTCAGAGTGGTTATACTGATATCCATGACTGCCTCTAATATATAGGAGTTTTAGTTCTACATCTTTTTCAACCTTAGTTCTAATTTTGGTTTTGATTTTGATTATATATATTTGAGTCTATTTCTAGATTCTATTCTATTCCAGTAGTGTATTTATCTGTCTTTATGTCATCACTAGTAAATCTTATTGAAGATTCCAATATTTCCAGTTTCCACCTGTTTTCAGTGATTTTTCTTTTTTTTTTTTTTTTTGGTAGTGGGAATCGAACTCATGACCTCACGCTTGCTAGGTAGGTGCTGTGCCACTGAGCTAAATCCCTGGCTTCAGTGACTTTTCTAGAGAGATTTATACAGATACCTTACTTGGGTGCCCTTCTGTTCACCTATAATGCCTCTTTTATGTGTTAGATTAATTTTTTTCAGCCGTTTGGGGGCCAGTCTATACTTGTTCTGAGAGTTGAGATGGCTCTTAAGATTTTCAGGTGCAGATAACAGGAAAAGAGGAACTTTGAAAATCTGTGTTGTGGTTAAACTCTTAGAGAAGAGAGGAAACTAGGACTAGATATAACCTTGGCAAATAGCTAAACCCTATGTTTACCAGAGTAAACCAAGTTTTTCAACTTCATGTTCTTATTCTGGGTTTTTTGCCTCTATCAGAAACCAGATTCAGCTTTATCTTCCTTCTGCCTTCTCTGGCCACCCACATTAATTGCAAGACAGCTGTCTCAGAGTTCTACCTGCTGTGCTTTCCATCAGCCCTTCCAACTGTATCACAAGCCACCTTGGCTCTTGTCCCAGTTGTCCAGGTTGTTCCAGTATAAGGGTTTTATGAGTGGGGTACTGCTGCTAAGATTGTATCTCTGGTCTTATCGGACCTGCAGAGGGTAGAATGTAAGTTGTCCTTTTCCTCATTTCAGTTCTTGTCTTGGAGAAAATTCCTCAGTTTCTGGTATGTAGTTGTTTTTTCTTCAGTCATTTCAGTAAAAGACTGCAAGGACAGATGAAATAGAAGTATGTGTATTTAAAGCAATCCTAATTACAGGTCATTGCTAGTCTTTTAAAAAAATTTTTATTTCAAGACTTTAAAGTTGTATACTTTGAAGATCATTGTTTATTTTTATTAAGGTGGGCATTGTATTGCAAATGTGTTTTCAGGGGTTTGCTACTTCATAACAAATATTCCACTACTGTCATGAAACTCAGAAGGGAACAATCCAGTGATTCACATTGGGTATCAATTTTACAATTTCATACTCCCCCACCCCACACCCTCCCCACCCCCACCTGAATATGAATGGGGACCATAGCCCAAAGGCCCAGTGAAGAGAAAGTTGAAGACAATGACAGATACCCAGAATGAAGTAGGAGTGGTTGTTTTGATACTTATGGGTTCCAGATGATCTGTCTGTATGCCTTCATTTGATAAGAATGCCACATGACTCTCTTGGCAGCTGTGTAGGGAAACTGACCCCGGGATTAGGAATAACTAGGGAACTGTTTGAGAATTGTGTGCCCTTGTGGAGCCAAAGCTATTTCCCAAGCCAGTTGTCAAAGGCCTAGCTGGAAAACAGAAACTATTTCCTGTATTCTTTATAACTCTAGTGCAGGTCACATTTCTCAGGAATTAGTACATAAATAAGAGTGTACATTCAGAAGTTTGGGGCTCACTATACTTGAATTTTTTGGTTTGTCATTTTGCTTTTTAATATGACTAAAGATAAGGTTTATTTTCAACTCTAGTAAACAAATAACACAGAAAATTTTTCAATTTTTATATAGCAGTACAAATGCAGGAACTTAGAACAGACCTCCTACTGACATTTTTTTAAGAAAAAAGCAGTAATAGAAAATTTAACTAGGAAGACCCTAAGCTTCCATTGTAAAGATACCTCCTTTCCCCAAGAATTAGGTCTGAACAAAGTTCCTGTCCACCAGTAGGAGCAGAAGGGAGTAAATCACAACCAAAGACCTTGGCACTTCTATAAGAAATTTAAATAACCGGCAGACATATAGAAATTCGTAAATATGTACTTGGTGCCAACCAAACCACAGAGAAGATACTGTATTTGTGGTTCAGAGAAGTTTAAATATTTGTGGTCAAATTTAAAATTCAACATAAAATTCTCATCTGTGAGGGAAGCTTTCCAGAAACTGCATGGAGGGTATGCAAACTGTATAAAGTCTCAAAGGTTTCTCTTCACTGGGCTAGGTAGAAAAGCTGATTCTCCTTCCTTCTCGCTGTGTAGCTGACAGTGTGTGGATTCCTATAGCTCCCCTTATGCACTTATAAAGCCCACTTAAGGGCCCTCTCTGCTTTGTGGCTTCCTCCTTCAGGTCTCTTGAAATGTCATTTCATTTAAGGGCCTTTCCTTGTCTATCTTATATGAAATACTCTCTTACCCTGTTACTCTGTCCCTCTTACCCTTCTTTTTTTTAAAACAAGCTATTTTACATTTATCAAAGGTATTAAAGGTAGGAAAAGAAGAAAAAAGAAGTATGCTCTGTGAGTGTGGGCCAATTAAAGTAGAAAAAGAAGTATACTCTGCAGAGTGCTGGGTGGGCCACTGACAAGGTTCGAAGCGACCCCTCGTTTATTTTTTTTTTCGCAATACTCCCCACCACTTTCTGCTCTGTGAGAGCAAGAAGACTGTTTTACTTACTGCTGTATTCCTATTACCTTGTGTAGGGCCTAGGCTGGGTGTGGTGGCGCACACCTGTAATCCCAGCACTTGGGAGGCTGAGGCAGGAGGATCGTTGTTAGTTCGAGGCCAGCCTGGGCTACAAAGTGAGCTTAAGGCTAAGCTGAACTGCACAGCAAGACCCTGTAAAAAAAAAAAAAAGAAAACAAAACCTTGAGTAGGGCATACCATACCATAGCAGGTGCTTATTAGATATATATTGAATGTTCAGTAGAATAGCTTAAGATGCTTTGGGAAGTACAGTCTAGGGTGCAAAGAGTTACACCCTATCCCTCTTATATGGGGGAACCTCAGACTGTGAGATCAGCCTGAAGCACCACCATTATCTTACTTGCTGTTCTGTGGCAGCTATATCTAGTCCCTGAATATAGTCCCCAGCTATATATAGTCTACTGAATGTTCAGTAGAATAGCTTAAGATGCTTTGGGAAGTACAGTCTAGGGTGCAAAGAGTTACACCCTATCCCTCTTATATGGGGGAACCTCAGACTGTGAGATCAGCCTGAAGCACCACCATTATCTTACTTGCTGTTCTGTGGCAGCTATATATAGTCCCTCATAAAGGGATGGGCACTGAAGGTGCTACACAAGCTGTAGCACCTGATTTACGTGTCAGGATAGAGCAGTTCAGTTTTTGCAGTTAAGCTGGGCAGGGTGGCGCACACCTGTAATCCCAGCACTCAGCAGGCTGAGGCAGGAGGATCATTGCAAGTTCGAGACCAACCTGCACTACAAAGTGAGCTCAAGGCCAGCCTGAACTGCATGAGACCCTGTCTCCCAAAGGAAAAAAAAAAAAATTTTTTTTATAGTTAAAAAAAAAAGTTGCACTGTGTGTTTCTGGCCTTGGAATTTATTGAAGACCCTCCTGATGTTGATTATTCTGCTGCAGGAGCTCTTCCTGGGCAGCATGCAAACTGGAGGACATACATATATTTGTCACCTTTTTTTTTTTTTTGGTTTTTCTCCGGTACCAGGAACCGAACTCACGACCTTGCTCTTGCCAGGCAGGTGCTTTGCCGCTGAGCTAAATCCCCAGCCCCTGTCACTTATTTTTGTTACATGTAAATGTAGTCCTTCCTGTCTGGCCTTTTGTCATTTGAGACTCTCCCTGCTGAAGTCTATTGTTGCTGACCTTTTCCAAGCCTATTAGATGTGAGCATGACTGATAGACCTGAGTACACCTTCAGGGTTTTTCTCCTGTCTGCTTTTCTTCGCTGCCTTTACTAGGTCTTCCTGTCAGTCCTCCCAACACAGAGAAATCTATTGCACTGAAAACATTAGATTCTTTGGGTCTGTTTCACAACCTCATTGTTGATGACCCTTAGAATTTGGTATGAAAATGTGCTTCACAGATAATATTGATGATTTCTGTGATACCCTGTTAAATATATATGTCCATTATGTATATGTGTACATAAATGTACATACATATATGGTACAGTATATCAACATTCATGTAAAAACATTTGTAAAAGTTAAGAGTTGGGTGTGGTGGTGCATGCCTGTAATCTTGGCTAATTGAAAGGTTAAAGGCAGCAGGATTGCAAGTTTGAGAACAGCCTAGACAACTAGTCACTTAGTGAGACCCTGTCTTGAAATTTACAAATGAAACGAGTTGGGCATATAGCTCAGTAGTAGAGCATCTGTGTCTTTAATCCCCAGTACCACCCAAAAAAAAAAAATAGAGCTCATAGTTAATCACAAATTGTAATATTTGCATAATTATTTCAAGTACACCAGAAAATGGCCACCAAATTAGGGAAAAGAACCTAGAAATCAGAGGTAGAGAGATTTGTTTTTATCATGTGCCATGTTTTAAATTGCACTTTACTACACAGCTTTAACTTGGCATGGTACTTGAAGCTGGGCTACCACCTTGTCATGATTGCCTCCAAGATGAGATGCTCTCACTGAACTTTTACTGCTTTGTCAGCAAGAGTGGCTGTAGCCTAAATAATGGAATTCAGTGACAGTTTTTAATTCTGTGTAGTCAATTTTTTTTTTTAATTGAGGCTGTGTTAGATTTCCCTGGTATAGGCTGGTACAGAGTTTTATCCTCTTTTGGTCTTAGTAGTATACAGCTCTGAAACTACACTTCAAAGTAGTATATAACTGCATGCTCTTCTGTGCTTCAGAAGTGCAGTAAGCATGGTTCATAGTTAGTGGGTTCCTGTCTCTAAGCCTGTTCTTAGTCTGCTGACTTAGAGTTAATGAAGAACCATAAATAGGGCTAAGTGTGTGATAGAGCACTTGCCTTGCCTATGCAAGGCCTTGGTTTTAATGGGGGAGGGATGGTCTAATAGCCTTTTTGGTTCCTTTTCAAATTCTGTGAGTGTGTACAGCATAGGCTTGGTGATCAAGAATGGATCAGGTGAAATCCCATCCATTCTAATACCATTTATGTAGAAAAACATCTCCCTATTCTAGATAGAAGTCATACTCTCCGTTATGCTCTGTGCTAGTCATAAGAAAACTCCAGAAAATTCATGTAGTCTGTCTGGACTTCAAGTTTACTCTGTAAAATGAAGTGACAGTAGTCACTTAAGATTTCAGTAAGGATCAAACGAGATAAAATGAGTGAAGATGCCTAGATTTTAAAAAGAAAAAAGTCTCTGTTAGTACTTGTTTTCATAGTGAAGCTGTTCAGAAGACTGTAAAGATGTGAGCAGTTACAAACCATTCACACACCAGATTCCCATACATCTTCCCAGATCATCTTGCAGTTTGGTTTGCTATTTTCTATAATTCATGCACATTCACTCACATCCTCCACCATTTTCAATGTCTACCCTTTCAGCTTTTGCCATTATCTTGTGACTTGGGATATAAAAACTTGTTAGATTTATTTTATAGGTTGATTCAGGCCCAGCAAGAAATTAGACAGGATTCTGGTAGCGTTTCAAAGGCCAAGCAGGTTTGCTTATCGTCAGATCATTTCAGGATTCTCCTAGAAACAGAAGCCCACAAGTGAGAGCTTGTGAGCCCTTGAAAGAGAACAACACAGTTCCACCTTGAAAATGAAGTCCTGCTGTCCTGGGCATCCCGCCCTTCCCATGCTAGCCTCCTTTCGGCACCATTCCTTCCTGCAGGCCCACCCCACTCTTTGCCCTGGCACACAGTTCCATGAGCATGCCACCTGCTTTCTCTCTCTGGCCCCATCCTTTGGCTGCTCAGTTTATTTTTTCCACATCCTCACTCTCTTCCAGCTCCAAGTTAAATAACTCTCACAGATGGCTTGTTCCATCAAAGCTGTTTAAGAACACAGGACAGTGAACTGGGGTCCAGAAGGAGCTGCCAAAGCCTTAGTCTGCCCTTGCTCCACTGGCTCAAGACAGCTTTTTCATCAGCTGCCTGGAAGTCCACGGACAGTGAGCAGAAAGGTTGGCTGGCAGGTGGGAGTGTAGAGGAATGTCCCTTTAACACTATAAGCCTCTAGCAACGAGTTCTCACTTAGATTTACAAGTCAGAACCTGGAGCTGAATACACTGCATACTCGATTTTCCACAAAAGACAGTGCACTTTGGCAGTTCTCCTCCACTTTTTTATAGCGTGGAAACCCAACAGGAAATGGCAGTCCCATTTATGTTTGGGCTCGTGGTTTGAGTCTTTACTGAACCTCTTCATGAACTCCTGAGAGGTCTAGATCCCTGCCCTGCCTGACCTGAAGGGCAGTATTCCCAGCTGTCAGCACACCCTTGGGAAGAGGGGGGAACTTCACATTCCTATTGGAAATCCTGCAGAGAGACAAGACCCAGAATTTCACTCTTCCTTTCCTGTCAGCAAGGACATGGAGGTTTCCTGTCTGCCTTGTCATCAGCTTTGGAACACTGCCCCCCGACCCACACACACATGCACTGATCTATAAGCTTTGTGTTTTCATTTTCCCAGCACTCCTTCGCTCTGTCATAATCAAGATGGGTCTGGTTAATTTTGCCCTTGTGTCAGGGCAGCCTTTTCCTTGTCCTCACAGTTATTCCTGTGAGACTTGAGACCTCTCTGGTCAGGGTCTCCCACTTTTTCCTTTCTTCTCACTCTTCCCTGTCTAACTGCAACCTCTGTAAGTAGATTCCTCTGAGGTCTCCGAGGAAGGGCAGTATGTGCTGTTTGCTGCTGTGGGAGTCTCTTCCCCTCAGTAAGCAAAGTTCTCTTGAGCAACCCCCTCCCTTCCCCCATGAAAGGGCATGTTGGCAGCTTATCTGCTTGAACTCTGGCATGACAGGACAGGGAACAATGGCATGTGCAGAGTGGTCTAACCAGACAAAAGGAAGTTAACTCTCAATCCCAGAGAGCAGAGAGTTGGAGAAGCTTCCCCTGGAGAGTAAAAAGAAAAGAAGGAAAGGGATGGGATAGAAGGGAAAATTGTATAGCAGGGAAATGTTCCCTGAGAATTGAGTCAGAAATCAGCATCTTCTTTGTAAGTCTGGTCTTTCCACTGAGAAGTAATTCTAGGGGGTTGGGGGAGCTGGGAATTGAACCCATTGCCTTACTTGTGCTAAGCACATGCTCTCTAACACTGAGCTGTACACGCAGCCAAAAGTAAACTTACTGCTTTCTCCTCCTCCTTCATACCTTCCTTCATGATTGGGGGTTGACAGATGAACAACATACCCTGTTGCTTACACAGTAAGTTTCTGGAGTTGACAGATTTATAGAGCCTTTGGACACCAAGTAGAAGGAGGGAGATTTGATTTCCATTATCCTGTGCTCATGCTTGTTGATGAACTTCCCCCTTACAGTATATCCTATATTCATTCAGCTGAACAGCTGATCAGCAGAGGCCTTGCCTGTATTGCATCCAAAGAAATGAAATGAATCTGAATGACAGAACTTGCAGGGCAGGCATCCTGGGAAGTTTTTAATTTCAGTATTTCTATTCTTGCCTGTACCTTAGCCAAGCACCCATTCACTTTATGTTCATCAAAATGCAAATTGATCAGAGCTGTGTATTTTGTCCTGCATGCCTTTGGGCTGCTGCTAAGCTAATGCACGTGTAGTATCCTTTAGGTGAGAAAGGACTTG